TTTGTAGAAACCCTACCTAAAAAAATGCTAGAATCTCAAAACGATTTCGTAAATAAAAGCAAACAACCATTTGCACTCAAAGCTAAAATCCTCTGCAAACAGTCTGCAAATTAAAATCGTGCCCTATTCTTCCAAAGGGACATGTATATGAAACATGGGCATGACGTCAGGCCGCGACACATGTCAGCTGCAAAATCTCCCTCCGGTCACCCAGATCCAGTGGCCAGTCCCAAAACCGGGAACCTGCCCTGCAGGCTGGAACACAACATCGAAAAGCCCGTCGTTGCTCTCGAACGGGCATGATGGCCAGGCGCCCAGGCCAGGCCATGGCCATGGCCATCAACAAGCATCATTGCGAGCCGTCCGGGGTCAAACGGATGAGTCCAGAGAAAGGTCGCCTCTGCCAATCCGCCATCCCATCCTCCACCCGTCCACCGCGATACGCTAGTGGCCTCCGCTGCTCTCGCAGGCCGCGGCAGCCAATCATCCGGTTCACCACCTCGGCTCCCAAATCCCAATGGGCAACGCTCAATGGCCAATGGCCTAGAGTTGCACAAGTCAATGGCATCATATCCGCCCCCTGCTTTCTTTTCGGCACCCCCGTTAAAAAAATGCCCTCCTTGCTGTGTCTGTGTGCGGGCACCGCGAAATCATGATGAGGATCTCCGCAAGGTCGCCGCTTAATCCTCTTGAGATGAGATCCTCCTCCTTACGGACAAACAGATCATTAGTATTCGCATAATCCTTAAAAGGAAGTTTTTTTTTTAAAAAAAGGTCAGCAAAGATAAGATGTGGCATTCCAGGAAGGGACAATGGATTGGTAGCGCTCAGCAGTATTATCTGATGGATATGTTCTCTTTTCTTGCAGACCTCAGCATAAAGCTATACTCCTCCTCCAGGCTCCAGCCACATGTCACACACTGTTGAAAGTTTTAGTAACCAAATATTCGATGTGATAGAAACTAAATTTTAGGAGGTGGAATTAAACACATCTAGCTGTGTTAAGCATGCTGAGATGCTAGGCAGACTTGTTTATGAGGTTTCTGCCGCCATTTTTTTTTTTGGTAAACATGTCATCACTGCTTAGGTTCCAGTCAAAATAGGCAATATACAGTTGGGCGTCAATACGTGTTCACCGTGATTATGCCATCAGAATTTATAATTTGTAACCCCACAACAACGAGCAGTGCACTCCCTCTCCCTCGGTTGAAAAATGTCTGTGACAGGAATAAGGATCCTTCGTTTTTCTTTTGTTTTTCCCCTATACAATCCAAAAGGAACCGTACTCTACTTATGCTAAAAATGTTTCATAGAAATTAACGATGCTAGATAAATAATTTCTCTAATCCTTATACAAAGTCCTTAAGATATCAACATGGTCTTTCTAAAAAAGCTAGACGGACTTTCATTTGATCGGAAATAGTTTAACGTGGCATCGTCAAAATCTTACATAGTTTTGATATTTATATGAATTATTTATACATATCTAAAGGTAAAAAAAATTTACTTCGGACAAATACAGATGGACTAGTTCATTTTATTATCAGACAAAGAATCATCTAAGATTAACGAAACATATGTGAATTTTCATGATCATTCTATTGCCATCAAACTTATGTTGTCAATCTATATGCTCTTTTATAAGTTGACAATTAGAGGGCAAAATGCTTTTGGCAATAGCACAATCCCAAAAAGGGCTTCTATCTGGGACAGGTGGTAGTAGTCTTCTTTAATCTTCTCCCTATAAACAAACACAGTTGGCCCACATGACATAATTAAAAATGTTTTCAAATTCTGAATGCTACCACTAATCCCATAATTTAGCCTATGCTAGAATCATCTCTTTTGAGTCTTGCCTCAGGCTGATGGAACTGGAAAGCATGGCTTCTACTTTGTCTTTTGTCTCTAATGGAATGGGGTCCACAGAGGTTTATAGTACTTAAATGCAGCCGAGCTGTCTCCTCCTTCCGGTGGTGTCCCGGTGATTTGCACCTAGTAGTTTAAAAACAATGCCCCTCCTTTTCTTTGACTCTTCTTAGGCATTTTGCATGTACACCCCGGTTTTGTCCGTAATTACTGCTAGCAGTACTTTCCAGGTTTATCTCGTCCAGTGATCCCGCTGAAGAGAACTGTCAATTACTAACAGATTTGCTCCCGGCCGGTACACCAGCACATGAATGGAAGAACACTGAACAAAAGATTTTCATGTCCAGGATATATAACATTCCAGTACAAGGTAGTACTGTACTAGTATTATGCAATCTACCTCATGCATCGAGTAAGATTTAAACTTATCTAATGTCCATTTGAGCTACGGAAATATATATATATATATATATATATATATCTTTTTCCAGGAATTTTAATGTTCACTCTGGTTATGTATGTGGAGAATCAAAGTAAGCCTGCTTATCAAGAAAATTTGAAAAATAAAGATCACAAGAAGAGATCTTAATAGTTTGTTGGAATGCCAGCCATTTAACATGTGTTTTTTTTATATATTTCTTGTTGGTGCCTTTCATTTGTCTGTATAGTACTGTTCGGTTAAACTACTTCAGTAGTACTTTCAGTGAACGAATAATGTTTTCGTCTCATAACAAATCAGCATAAGCATCAGCATAAGTCAAATTTCAGCGAAACGAACACTATTTTGACTGATATTGCAAAGATCTTCACATACAAAGGCATACAATGTTCGTTCGCTGAAAGTACTGTTGAAGTAGTTCAAGCGAACATTTATTATATATGTGTGACCTCATTTTATTTGTTTTGACTGATATTGCAAAGATCTTCACATATACTAATCACTGTTGATGCATTGTATGCTGCATTGTCTATCGTGACAAAAGAAAAGAATTTATACTACGGAAAAATCCAGTGAATGCTATACTAAGAAATTCTTTTCTAATATGTACGAGAGTATACCAATACCATTTCTTGTACTGTTGACATTTTTACTGTATAAAATATTGTGTTGTTGAACTTTAAGGCCCTCTTGGTAGGGCTCTCGCTGGCTCCGGCTCCATGCTACAGTGCCAAGAGCCGCAGGCGAAGGAGCTAGACCTTCTTCGGGCTCCTGGTTCATTTCACGAGGAGGAAGAAAAACAGCTCTTTACTACAGTAGCCAGTTCACGAGGAGCCAGAGCCACCGGAAGTCTCGCGAAACAGGCTTCTAGAATGCCAACTCAAGATGACTAGAGCATTTATATAAATTCCACCCCAAAACAAGCAGAATGGCACACAAGCCTACCCAGTCAACCGCCGCGCAAAACAAATCCTGGACTGAATAGCAAAGTTGACACCTGCACTTGCACTAATAATAAAAAAAATTGCAGGCCCTTCTTCTCGAAGCGATCCAAGGCTTCGGTTCGTGCACCTCGCCGAGGGTCCTATTCGCAAAAGGGGCCTCCCCTCCCCTCACAGCGCATCAAATTTATTGCACTGCTCTGCTGCCTCTCATGAATGGCGTTTATTTAAGGTCTCCACCCTCCGCCCCGGGGAATTCTTTGGGTTCTCGGGCTCCGCCGCGATCCATCCCGTCCTCGCCTTGCCGCCCCTCCCGCCGGTTCTCCCGGAGCTTTCTTTCTGGCCGGCGCAGCAGAGAAGGCGAAACTGAATTGCTGCGGCGCCTGCACACGCAAAGGTCAGAGCTCCTCCGATCCTTCACAGCTTCACTCCGTCTCCTGTTCTTGTGGTGCTGTCGTCCTCCTTCGCCCACGGCTGGACTAGTTCTGCATGCGAGTGAGGAGCGGAGGGGACTTGTTTCTTGGCCATGTTCATCTTCCCATGTTGCTCGTTTTTGCTCTGTTATTATTTCTTCAGAAGCTCTGATCTGAAGAACTTGTGGATGAGTGGTAGAGTCGCAGAAGTAGCATTCGATATGCATGTTTCATGATTCTGGATTGGAGGCGCATCATTTTTGTCACCCAAAAAAGAGGGAAAGTAGAGTCTTTGATCCGAGCTTCCTCTTGTTTGGCTTGTTGTTCTTGCCTGCACGTAGTTACTGCGCTGGGCCGCACAGTCCTATGTAATTACTCCTCCTTAGGCCTTACCGACACAGTCTGATGCGGCGCAGTTAAAGCCTTGCCGTCAGAGTCCGGAGCTCCTCGGGGCCCTTGCAAGTTTCTTCAAGACTTGAAGCCCTCTGGTTTCATGCTGGGGTTAAGTGGTGGATCGGTGCGCGGTTGGTGGTTTCGCCCCTGTTTCCCTGTCCATCGCCCTCCTTGCTTGCTTCTTTCCGTGAGAGGAAAGGAAGAAACCAGGGCGTGCTTGTCCTGTGATCCAACCAGGTCCTTGTCTCCCTTTGCTTTGCTTCGTATGGTATGGTACCGCTACTTTGTTCCTTGCTCTGTCTGCCTGTATGCCTGACCGACCGTCTCTGCATCGACGCGTATAGAAAACCCTGCAGTTTTGGTATCCGGTGCTTTGTCTGGTGCTTGTGCTGTCCTGTGCTGTGTAGTCTAGCTGTATGTGTGTGTACATTGAGGCTGACTTTCTCCCTGGAAACGCTTGATGTTTGGTGTGTCCAAATGCCGCGAAGGAGTTGTTGGGCGTGCCGGTCGTTGCCTCCTCTGCTTTCGCTCTTCAGAGCTTGTGTTTTCCTTTAGCGTTATGTGTTTGCGACATGGTTTCGTCTTTTGATTTCTTTTTCATCCTTTCTTTTTTTGGGTGTCTCTGAAAGGGTGTAAAGTGTCTTGTTCTATCAGGACGCTGCGAGACTTTTCCTCCCATGGGAATCTAGTTTACGCGAAACGCGGTATTTGTTTGCAGATGGATGGACATCGGCATTCGCAAACGCAGCCTTTTGTCCTCCATTCTGGAGAACAGGAAGCATGCACTTTTTTGTCTGTGTGGATCATGGGAGTATTTGACTTCTAATATTTCTCTCTCTCTTTCTTCTTCTTCTTCTCTTTTGCAGGAAATAATGAGCACTGTTTAGCAAAGGCAGCTCCTGAGTCCTGAGGCATGGCTAGTACTTAAGGATACTGTATGCGCAGATCATGAAGATAGGTAAGTGAGTTTCACATCTAGTCTTCTGCCTTTATTTGTAAAAGCATTTGCTTAATTGCATCAGTTAAGCACGGTTGCATTCTGATTTCTATGATTCTTGATGCTAGCCTGGTTTTGGGCTGTGGCAAAGGCTGATTGTGCCTTTATAGGGTAGTCGGTTGATAGATTGCGATCTGATAGCATGATGCATTTCATTTGCTAGGATAACTGAACTGAGAATTGTGCATAGGATCGTTGATACGTCATGTGATTTGCTAGAGTCCACCTCATCCCTGTGATTTTTTTCTGGTAATTATTTGTGCAATTGTCTCACTCGGCATGATAAATACCTCATCAATGTTCGCTTTCATATGCGTGTTATGTTCCGCGTTAATCTTCATAGAAGGATCCATCATACCAATTTCAGTCTTTTAATTTTTATGCAATCTCTATATTGATTTGATGGATCAAGAAAAGAAAACACTATTGTGTTTTTATTGAATCATGATTTTCGTTGATTTGGTAGGAACACTGTCGGTTCTTGGCTTTTGTTCCTTCAGGACTACCAATAACATCTTAGTTAAGCAAATAAACTTTTCTGGGTTTCTTTATGACAAAATGTGCTTTATTTGAGTTGTGAGTCACTGCAGGAAAGTTTAATGCTTGCATATGATTACAGTGACAGCGCAACTAAAAGGAAAAAGAAACTACAGATGAACTTACCTGAAGTACTCTAATGTTAATTCCATGATAATAAGTTCTTTGCATATATTTCTTGTCCTGGTTGGGTTGGTCATCAGTTATTACTACTATAATCTTAGAAATAGTTTTACTCATTTATTGACGTTGCAAACCAGAAACAATAAATGTCGATTATGATATGTTTGCTTCATTATGATTTTTTTTCTTCTCTGTTCACACTCTTAATAGCTGATTTTGATATTGGCATGCAGATGATGAAAGGCCTTACCAAAGTCATATTTTTCATGATCTTGCATTTAACGGTAGTCCTAAATTAGACTCTGAGGCTGAAAGACAAAGTAATCACAAATTTTTGGCAGATAAAATGGTTGAACAAACCAATCAATCTGAACTTAGTTTTGTGAAGGCTGAGCATCTGAATGGAGGTAAAATTGGGCAGACACGCATTGAGGATTACTCGTATGACAAGGATGTTGTAGAGATCAAACTGCCAGATACAGTTCTTTCTTCTGATTACGGTGTCCATTTTGTCAAGGATGTCTGCATTGATGAAGGAGTTCTTCCTGATCAAAAGACTTCATCAGAAAATCAAGTAGATCAAAAGGTATCCATGAACTTTGATTCCTCAGAATATACAAATGGTGACCTAAGGGAAGAGATAAGTGCTGACTCTACAAAAACTGCACATGAATTAAAATCAGAAATAGTTATCCTACCTGTCATGTGTGATACTGATGGCAATACTGGGGAACAGAACTCCTCATGCAAAAAGCATGATCTTGAAGATAACTATACTGCAGATGTATCTACCGATTCTAATGATGAGGAATTAAATCCCAAACAATTACCATGTCATGAAGTTGCACAAGATTGCCAGGAGGTTGGCAGTATCATTTCTGAGAGCAATGAAAATCAGGACCGGCTTTTCACTGGAGAAACAACCCATCAAGTATGCAACTACTTAACTTATACAGTACAGCATTTGCAGCTAATCTGTATGATCACCACTTTAACTCTTACAATTCATTCTTTCCCTTGATGTGTATCATAATGTTCTATGATTGTATGTAAACTATAAATTGTTTGTTCTGTTCCCCGAAAAACGTGATTTGGTATTACATCCGTAGTTTATTTGGCTCAATAAATGAGCAACTGCACATATAATTTTAACTATTTCATCACTTATATATCTCTACACCATTGGAGCACATAACATGATTGATCTTTGTTACAGGTTTCATCAAATGATTGTTATGAAACTGGAATTGGTATTGCATCGGAGACCAGTAACATCATTCACAATGATTTACCAGTACAATCAGCCGCTGCTGATTTCTCGGTGGTGATACCTGAGGAAGTTGCTGTCAGTGCTGCATTGGATATGGAAGGATCCAATCAAGTTAATCACTATAACCCTTTTATTGCCTATGGATCACTAGACGAGACATGGGAACCTAATTACTCTCTCCCTACTATTGTGAATGCCGCATCTATAGCACCCATCTGTCCTATTGAAAAGACAGATAGTTTTAGTGATCTTGTCAATAGAGCACTGAAAGGATTTGATCCCATTGAAATAGATGAAGCCATAATTGAAGCGAATAGGTTAGATTCTGTTGAAGAAAGTTCAAGTACATTGGATGTCCAAGCATCTGAACAATGTAATGATCAGAGTGAGAGTCTCACTAATAATGATGCGAAGACTGATGTAGCACATGAAATGGGCACTGCTACATCTCTATCCATTAGCAATGGAGAGCATAGTGACGTCAAAAGTGATAATGGTCAGAAATATGAGATTGATGGTCAAGATATAAATGATTTCAACCCAAGAGATGCGGAGCTTGGCACAAAAATAAGTGAGGACATCACGGATAGTAAGAGTTCAACTCCTGTGCAAACAGAATCTGTGGTTCAACAAAATGGGCCTGATAGCGCAAAAGTGACCGCACAAACTGTTATTCGCAATCCCTTTGAATCAAGCTTCTCTGGACCTAGCATTACCTCAGGTCCACTAACGCCCTCTGGTCACATACCTTATTCTGGCAATATTTCTCTTCGATCAGAAAGTAGCACAACAAGTACTCGGTCCTTTGCATTTCCAGTGTAAGTGCAGATTATCTGATTACTTATTTTCAACATAGAACTGCTTTCTCGCCCCGCAATATTGTTGCTTAATTCTCTTAAACAAATCAATCCTTCTCTATATACATCTACATGTCGTAATTGATAAAATCTAGCCCCATATAAGCAACTTCATAGTTTGTTGTACATCTGAATGGGACAGCATTGAATTTGTTCTTCTATAACGGTAATTAGTCGACAACATAAGTTCCCCTGCCTAAAGGAATATCAGTCAGGCATGGATATAATTTCCCTTATGCTAACTGCTACCTCATAACGTCATACTTTGGTTGTACTGTCATGGGCTCATGGCAGTTTCTGAACTTTCGGACCAATCAATAGGAATTCTTCATAAATGTTGTCATTACACGAAACTTTCTTTGTTTTGTTCTCATGGGTTCAAGCATCATTCATGGGATTAAGCATCTTCCTTTTGTTCTCCAATTCACAGACTACAGAACGAGTGGAACAGCAGCCCCGTGAAGATGGCAAAGGCCGACCGCAGGCGTCTGAAGGAAGACCGAGGCTGGGGTTACAGAATCCTTTGCTGTAAATTCTGAATGCGCCTGCCCCTGCATCCTTTTTGCCTGTTGAGTTGAGCCCTTCGTGTCTGTCACGCTTGAGCCCGTGGAGGTCCATGTTAAATTCATTCAAATGTTTCTCTTCTCTCCCCCTTCTCTTTTCTTTTCTGCCCCCCAATGCCCTGCTGTTCTTATTTATCTCTAGCAGGTTAATGGCTTGTCGGATTCGGTAGTGGCTTGTAATTTACAACACTATGATGAGTGAGGAATTAAGGTATAGCTTTGGTATAGGATTTGTGGATACTTGTTGAGGTATTATTCCAGATGAACATCCATGGAGGGTGCTATTTGAGCCGTGATACTCTGCTGCCAGAAACCGACAATCAGTGAAGTAATTTCTGTTAGCCAGTGAAGCGACAGAACAACATGACAGTAAATTGGTGCAAATACATGTAAATCACTGAATCTGTTACAAGCATATGAGCACATCTGCGACCTGATACTGGTGCGGATGTGCATGTGCATACTATACATGTCATCTATCCTCAAGCATGAACACCATTGACAAAATTGCTCATCTGCACATGAACGATCCATGCTGTTGCAGATTGGGCTAAACAGGTTGTCCAGCTTGAAGGCTAGATTAAGGCTAGCCACAAGACATTATTTGATATGGGCAACTACGTATATAAACCCTCCTAATCAACTAGGATTATGACAACTAAAGCCTGAAGAACGAAGCAGCTAGGTAGCTCTAAGCCTCTAACTATATGTACCGAACTAGTCATGCCATTCCCAAGTTCAAATGGCCCGAGAGCACGCCGAGGAAGCTGGCTATTACGTACAGCACTAGCTATCTCTAGCCCTCTAGGGCTTCTTATTCACCTGCAGCGGCGTGGCGCCGTTGTTGATCGGCCGGCGGCGGCTCGCCCTGGACGCGTAGTCCCTCCTGAGCATGTCGTACATCTCGGTGACCGCGTCGCCGTGCTTCGCAGCCGCGCGCATCTTCACCGTCCGCGGCCGTGAGCCTGCGGAAGTCGTCGTCGTTGTCGCTCCCTCGGTGGCTTTGGTTCCCTCCTTGTTCGGCGCACCGAGCTTCCGCCCTGGCCCTGGGAGTACCTTGCTGGCAGCTAAATCATCGTCGTCGGTGGACGCCAACGCCTCGCCGAGGTTCTGCGTACAGTCATCCAAATCCACTAGTAACTAGAGCAAAATATGTACATGTACTAGAATCTGTCAGTAGATTACTACTAGATTTAACTTGCTCTCTGCTCTGTGATCAGAACAACCAACGATGAGAGTAGATTTGGCGTTTTCACTAACCTCATTTCCTCTGTTGTCCAGTCCATTATTGTTTGGGTTTAGCACGACAACTGCAAGAACAGTGAAGATGGACGGGTCAAGGCAAAATCTCAAGTGCATCGACTGCGACTGCACAACAAGATGGACCAGGACTCACCTTGGCGAGCACAGGCGGTGGGGAGGTGAATAGTGAGCAAGGAGACGATGAGCAAGATAACTACAACAAGACTCATTGCACTAGTTCTCCTGATGCAGCTCATCATGGTGTGAAGTTTCTCCTGCAAACTATGCATACATCAGTTCGATTGATCGCTTGTGTGGTTGTTTGTGTGTGTGATATATGCCCTCAGTTGCAAGCTAGGAAGAAGAATTTGTTGAAGAGAAGAGGTAGAGGAGAGGAAACGCGGCGTGGGGGTTGTTGGGCTTTTATAGAGAGGAAGATGATACAATGCTTGTAGCTAGTACATCTAGCTCGGGATGGATGGATATGCAGTCAAAGCAAGCTGAGAGGAGAGCTAGGAATATCTGTTCCAACCGTACTCCCGCGTTAGTTTTCTTTAACAAACCCTAGGAATAGTTTATGGATTGGTCCTGATTGCGCCTGACCAAGGTATCAAACTAACCCAAGCATCCAAGAGTCTTTGAATTACGTCTGAAAAGGATTCTGTACTCTGCGTATATTTCATCGACTCAAATGTGTTAGCAAGGAGTGAGAGAGAGTTGATAGTAGTATGACATTACAAGACCAAGTACTAATAACTTAGGAGTATATGATTTCCTCTAATGTCAAATACTAACATATGTTGAGATACTATCAATCTCCGACTATATATAGTTGTTTGTGTCCATATACTCCCTCTATCCCAAAATGATAAACATATTTTGATAATGAAAAAGTCAAGCAAAATATAGATGTTGACTGTTAATTTATCTTATATATTGTCATTTGCAAAAGAATCAATATCATAGGCACTTTGAACACAAGTTTCATGTTCTAAACTTGTATATAATTTGAATAATTGTTAGTTTTTTTGCGAATTTTGTATAAGTTGAGTTTTCCCTATTTGAAATATGATTATCATTCCAGGATGGAGGGAATATAATTTAGTGGCTATAGCCTCATTTAGCTCCACTAATAACTGTTGGAGAGGCTCTTCGCTAAATGCTATAGCATCATCTAGGGATTTCGAACAACAGATGTACGATGTGAGAGACTTGGCGAACACAATGGACAAGCAGCTGCAGGCAAGGCGTCGACTCAATCTTTGCTTTGGTGGCTTGGGAGCTCTAGAAGGAGCGAAACGCGAGATGCTTTTGTTGCGCAGTCACCCAAGTGCCGGCCTTGTTGGCAACGAAGTTGTGGGCGCAAGCCGACGCAAAGAATTTAGGTTATCTTCTGCAACGAGTAGTAGCCTAGCTTGCCTAAGTATTCTTCTAAGAGGGCCGATGCTCAGTTATAAAACCTTTCGCCCCCCTAGAGCGCCTCAAGCGCGTGTTGTAACCAAACTTTTCTCTCTTAATACAAAAAATGCATAAATCTTTTGTGTTATCGAGAAAAAAGATGTACAATGTGTTGAGGTGTGCTTAAGCTTGAAAACCTTACCGAGGCAAGTATGATGTATTGAGGTGGCTCGAAAGCCTTAGTGAGGCAAGTACATGTATAGAGTGTAAACATACATTGTTCAGATGTGATCATCCACCCAACTGCTTAGTAATAATCCTCTGAAACTTGAATTTAGATGTGTAATATAATTTTCTTTTTATTGAAAAACTGTCCCTAGTTCCTCTAGTTTTTTTTTCTTGTTTTTAGTGTTTCAGCCTTCAAAACGTAACGTGATTCCAAGAAGAAGGCAGAGAGGGCTCGCTTGTTTCCACGCACGCGGCCGGCGAGGGCGAATCCAGTTGCATGCGCCGGCCGGATTCTTCATTTCTTCCCGGTTTTTTTGGTGGATGTGTACGCCGCCGCTCTGGCGTGCGAGCTACCTCTTCGAGACTCAAATGTCGGCAGTCGGCACTGGTGGTCGGTACACACTGTCCGTGCAAGTTCATGCATCAAAAGCTGTGAGTGTTGACGACTTGCTTGACGTGTATGTACGGATCCCATCCGATCCCCAGCTCCACATTTGAACCGATATGAATCCGTGGCAGCGATTGAGCTACAAATCAACGTACGTATATGCATTTTATAATTTGATTTGATTTGATGGTTTTTGAGAGAGTTACTAGTACGTCATTACTCTGGCGTAGTTAGGCATGGCATGCACGTAATTAAGTACACAGTTACTGTGCTTGACAGCTCTTACCTGATTCTACCTTTTGGATTTCTTTTACCACCACCCAGTAGAGTTGGTGAGCTGGCGGCAGCCTCGCCCTCTCAGCCTCTCAGGTTTGGGCGGAGCACGAGATGGAGCACGAGGGGCGTTCTGCCCAACAAGGCAACAAGCCCGACCTTGTGGCAGCGCAGAGGTGGGTGGCTTTCGGGGGCCGAGCTCGCTGCCTGTTGGTGGTGCTGGCTGGACGACGGAAGCAGCACGCAGGGCGCTAGCAAAGGCGCCGTGCACCGTCGCCGGGCGGCCACGTGCCGCTCGCCGTGCGACGCGCCCTACCGCCAATTTTCCAAATTACTGTAATATGGACCGGTAGTGATGTATCAGCAATACCTGAAAATAAGTTTAATGTGATTAAGAGTGTTTTAAGGCTGTCCCAATAAATAGTTTCTAGAGATAGTTTTAAAAAAGAGAGCAATTAATGTCTGGTAGAAACTATCATTCTCTATAGCAATTTTAATAGAAAGGATAACTTAAATGCAACACAAAAGCGAAGTAGATCATCTGTGACGAGCAACCATATAGTTTTATATGCACAGTCGGCACCATTTCTGCATCACGACAATCCACAAGCCATCAGGCTGCATAGGTGCTCCAAAAACCATCGTAATAAACAATGAATTTCAGACTATCGTTTTCATACTTTCGTTTTTAGAACCAATTGACAGTTCAGTTGGCATGCAATTCACTTTCTATACTCTGCAGTTTTTCTCCAAGCAGACTAAAACTGAATGTATATTGCCTCGCAAAGAAAACCTGAATGTATTCAGACGAAACTGAGTAGAGTACGTGTGTTTGGGATAAGTTCACATAGATTTTCAGAACCAATTACTACCAGACTAGTACAGTAAACTAGCACACCATTTTCTAGTGCAAGGGCGGCGGGAGCACCAGTGAATCGAGCGCGCGGGAGAGCGGCGAGCGTGCACAGAAGATTCGTGGAGGCAGGTGCGAGCAGGCGGGAGCTGCGCTTCGCGCGCGAGATGCGGCGCGGCGGCGACGGAGCCATCAGGCGACTGCGTGCGGCAGCTGCGCGCTTCGCACGCGAGGATGCGGCGCGGCGGCGACGGAGCAATGGATCAAGCCGCGCTGGAAACTACTAGCGTCTCCCCACCGCAGTCGGGCCAGTTTCTTGGAGCCTCGATCCTTGCGCCGACTCCGTTTTGTGAAGTAGAAACCGTTTTTCTATTTTGTGCTTTCTTTCTTCATTATTAATTCTTTTGCTACATCACTAAAAAGCTGAGTTGTCAATGTAATTATAAGATAGATAGAAACTTGTCGGATACCACAAGAGGGGTACACTAAGCAAGAACCAAAAATATTACTTGAGCCTTGCAAAAATCAAAGCCGAAGGACAACCACGAGGTCTCGGCCATTTCTCCGATTCGCCCGAGGCTTGCGCCGAGGCCTCAGACGAAAGGCCAAAGCCCTCCGCACCGCCGAGGCCCTCTCGCCGAGGCCCCGCCCCGCAAGGCCTCGGACGGGATGCCAATTCTCCGATTCGCCCGAGGCGGGGCTCGGCAACAACCTCGTCACCTCCACCCCAACCGGCTCCCCTGACAAAACGTCACGTCCAGATTAATGCGCCCAACTACTCCCGCAACGTCAGCCGCACACTGGCACAGTTCGGGCAGAACGACCGACGGGACAGGGGACCGGGCGCAGCAGGGGTTACCCGCCACTATGCTCATCACTATGCCTCCTGCTGACACCCATACTGCCATGTGCTACCCAACCCTGCGCCAAGGACAAAGCAGCGTGGAAGGTCAAGTCCATGTCCCTGTAGTCTCGGAAACAGCAGGAAAGACCAACTGCTCGTCCTCCGCCTCGTCCGAGACCCCCCGGCAGGGCCTCGGACGTACTTTTCCTCCTCCGCCTCAGTCGAGGCCGGGCCCATCCCGCATCCTCGCCGTCTCCGCCTCAACCGCCCCTCTGGCGAGCCGTCCCATCCGTGTAAGTGCGCCTGAACACACCTACTACGTCAGCCACGATGGGCAGGGTACAGCAACAGGGGCGATGGGACGGCGGTCAAATCTCCCTTTTTACCATCCCCTACTGACGGTGCAGGGATTACCGTGCCCTGTGGACATCCGCTCCGCGCTTTTCCTACCTGAACCGGGTACGACGCGGATCACCGAGACCCCCACACCGTAAACCGGTCACCTCCGAGGCCTCGGCACGATCAGCTACAGCACCTGCTAGGCCTCGGCACTCCACCAAATCAAGAATCCATGAGGCACGGCATGTCTCCGGCCGTGGAGGCCATACCGACTAGACATCAACAAGGACCCCCACGACCTCAACAACCTCAAGCCCGGCCAACACGGCGCGTCAGTCAAGTACCAATCGTCATTCCCAACACCATGCTGCTACAGGACTGAACTACAGTAGGCTCCACGTGTAGCTCAGTCATGTACTCCTGGCTCCCTCCTTGCGGTTATAAAAGGAAGCAGCCAGGGATAGCCCTAGGGGGGAGAAGAAAAACATACGGAAGAACCACGCTCTCACACACGGGCAAACAACACTCTGTAACACACGCTCCCCTAAGCTGCCCGAGAGCAACATCTCAAGCAGCCCACGCCGTTCCACGCCGAGACCTGAGACTAGCTCCCTCTCTCACCCAGCTTGTAGCCCCCTACAGCAAGCATTTCGATGCAAGAAATACAAGATCGATCTCTCAGACTGGACGTAGAGCGCCAATTGCCTGAACCAGTATAAACCTTGTGTAGCTAGCACCCCGGGAGCCGGTTGAGGACCATCCGGGATTAGGGGCACGCAGCTCAAATTCACTGGTTGGTTGAGGACCCCCGGTCCGAAACACCGACAAAACTGTAATTAATATCCTATGAGGACTGCCCTTAGAGAGCTCCAGCTCTGAAAAATCAGATCCAGAAATCAGCTCTGTCTAAATTCACTACGTATACTCTCACAAAACT